AAATAAGTACAATAAAATTCTCAGCTTCGTTCATTTACCTGACGCTGATTTTGATGCTATTGAACTCTCATTTAACTATTTATACAGATGGTTCACATAGTAGCAGTCATTCAGTGTCAGACTTTACTGCTCTGTCATCCTGCAGCGATTATAAAATCATCGATGTGATTTACGTTGAGTTAAATCATTCATCGTACTTTACTGAATTACGTTCAATCTACATAGAAACAAATCATTTGTTAGATTAAACAATGCAGCAATGTCGAACTATTTTGTGACTGACAGTCTGTAAGTAGAACCGTAACATCTATTAGAAAGTCAAACTATCTGGTATGTTTATTACAACAAAACGTCTTTTAGTTAGCTCAACAAAATTGTATATAAGAATAATAGGACTAAAGTCACCTTTTTAAGGGTATAAAAAGGTGACTTTAGTCCTATTATTCTTATTAAAAATTTTCACCTTACGAAATAATTCTTCAAAAATTGTATATTCAACATTCATTGGATAGCAAGTCATAAAGACTTAGAAACATACTAACCGATGATATGGCTAACGAGACGCTATCGAATAGGGACAACCTTCGATGATGTCAGTTTAGCTGTTTAGAATCTCTACTAGTCACCTATAAATACATTCGGTAATTGTGGCAACAAAGTTATGATCTGTCGAAGGTAGATAAAATTTACAGTATCTGAATGTTAACCCGATAGTTGGCAAACATTACATCTGAACATACATATCTGGGAAAACTGATTATTACGCTAAAATTTAATTATTTGCTATCAAAGACAAGATTGATCATTACGAGAAAATTACAATGCTTACTATGTTCACAATCATTGAATTGAGAACTCACACCTTTTGACCAAGTCAATTTAGTCTAAAAACTGATCAACGAAAAACGACACCTGTTCAAAAACCATACGGAATGCTCACCATCGATCTGTAGTATATCTGTCGCCATGCGTATACTACGCACGTTTGAGTGTAAAATAAATAAGTACAATAAAATTCTCAGCTTCGTTCATTTACCTGACGCTGATTTTGATGCTATTGAACTGGCGCCTGTTGTGTTTGTGCTTAACTGAACTAAAAAGAATTGAAAAACTCAGTGTTCTGTTCAAAAGTAGAGGGTACTCACGCGTATCACGTAATGGAAAGTTGTTTTGATTCAATGTTTTGTTTTGTTCAGCTTTCAGAACACGTAACTGTGCGCGTACCGGCGATATCGTTTCATCTTCTGTAGCTAACATCTCCACTTGTTCATCGTCGACTGTTGAGATGAACGTTAGTATAGGTTTTTGAGTTAAATTTTTATTATGTGATAAATTTTGTGGAGTTCTGATCGATGAGTCATTTCGTTTGTTAGTTGTTTGTTCATCTTTTGGTATCACACAGCAGCCGATTCGTTGTTCATCGGGGTTAATTTTTGTTGTTTTACAGTTTTTCAAGTGGAATAATATTAAAAAAAATGCACGTGATTTTGGGTAGGTGTAAGCACGAAAAGAATGTTTGAAGTTAGTTAAATATGAGAACATTCTTTCTGCCACTTGGGAATCGACGTCATTAAATGTTGAACCATGGCTCTCGTGATCAGCACGCATTTCATGTTTGCACATTGCTTGTTTGTGGTTTGGCTGATGGAAACGGTCTATTGCGAATGTGACTTTTGATAAAAATTCGGTTCTTTCGGATTTCTTCAAATAAGGTGTATCATACCAATTTTTGATAAATAATTTTAACATGCAGGCGGTATCATACATGCACGCAGACGGTAATTGCCCATATTCCAAAATTCGCAATAAATGACGTATTACACGTCTCATGCCTTCCGACCTTGGGCACTCATCGAAACCGACGATAACTGAACAATTGAAAAAAGTGACCAATATTCCATAGCTTGATAATCTTTTATCATTTATTATATCATCTCGATAAACATTACATGTGTGTTCTTCTTTTGATGCTGTAATTTCTTGTTGTCTTGCTTCATTCGCTAATTTGATCATTTCAGCATTTGGATCATTTATATCGACTTTGGTTTGATTGGAATTAGGCTGTTTCTGTTGATTTTGATGGAGTCTGCAGTAACGCTTATCACCTAGCTCTAAAATTGAAAGAATAACGGATGATACATAAAGAACGAGGTTTTTTATTTTTCAGGCGTTGAAATAAAGTTTTAAGGATTCGTTCTAAATCCAAGAGATAAAGAATTCTGTGCTCTACAAAGCCCTATCTTCCTGATATCAAGCGTTATTGCAGACTCCATCAAAATCAACAACAACAGCCTAATAGACGCGTTGCATGAAAAAACTAAACCGTTAATGCCCCGACAGACCGAGCTAAATCTCAGACTGTAAGGGTTTTCAAAGACGCTCTTTTCTCTGCACATCTGAAAAAAGTTTTAGCAAGATCGGTGGCCGTTCTTTGAATAATTGTTGAACGAAAGTAGATGAAGACACGCGGTTTTCGCTATTCGATAGCAAAGAGTTAATAGCATGTTTTCGTAAGTAGAAAATATTTAGAAACTGTTTTCAAGGAGATCTTTGGAAAACCGTAACTGGAAAATTCGACATAGCAATACGTTAATGTTTTTTCATAAATAGATAGACTAAAGTGTCCTCCGCAAAACAGAACCTAAGCGAGAACTTCATCTCTCATGGTTACGCAGGTGATGAGGTTTTTCTGGGAGCCGTAACTGCGCTTCATTTCAGTCAGTGAATCTCAGCAATGCATGGAAAGATAAGTTTCGACTATGCTGAATCGCGTAGCAATGTTTGTTCTTAAAAACAGATTTTAAAATCTAGTGAAGACCAAGCTTTTCAAAAATTAGAGCTTTCCGTCTGTTTTTTGTTTTATATTCTGCTTAAAAGAAATCAACAAGAAAAAATTTATAAAACCCTGTGGTGTTTTCAACATTAAAACTTTCACCCTTCGCTCAAAAACCATCAGGACGAGTCCAAAACTTCATGATATAGTTAATTCTGTTCTCTAGACGTGATTACAAAATCGAAGAAATCAAAAAAATGATGTTTTTGTCCTGAGGTTTTCTAGAAAGCCTTTCAGAATACCACAGGGTTTTATAAATTTTTTCTTGTTGATTTCTTTTAAGCAGAATATAAAACAGCTAAATACTGTCCTGGAGTTTTGGACTCGTCCTGATGTTTTTTGACTGAATCGTGAAAGTTTTCATGATAGTTGAAAACAGACGAAAAACTCTAATTTTTAAAAACTTGGTCTTCACTAGATTTTAAAATCTGTTTTTAAGGACAAACATTGCTACGCGATTCAGCATAGTCGAAACTTATCTTTCCATGGCTGAGATTCACTGACTGAAATGAAGCGCAGTTACGGCTCCCAGAAAAACCTCATCACCTGCGTAAGCATGAGAGATGAAGTTCTCGTTTAGGTTCTGTTTTGCGCAGGACACTTTAGTCTATCTATTTATGAAAAAACATCAACGTATTGCTATGTCGAATTTTCCAGTTACGGTTTTCCAAAGATCTCCTTGAAAACAGTTTCTAAATATTTTCTACTTACGAAAACATGCTATTAACTCTTTGCTATCGAATAGCGAAAACCGCGTGTCTTCATCTACTTTCGTTCAACAATTATTCAAAGAACGGCCACCGGTCATGTATTTTTGTTTCGATAATAGACGCAAGTCTCGATTTCAGGAAAGTGATTATTAAAAGGCGTTTCAAAAACTAATAAAAAGTAACTTGAAAATTTATGTTTATTGTGTCAAAAATAATTATTTCAACAAAATAGTTGAAATTACTGATTGTAGCTCTATTCATTGTAACTCAGTTTCGGACACATTGCCCTATTTTTATTTTAATTTAAAATAGTTGATTTTGTATAGAATTAAAGTTTCTACAACATGGCGTGCAATTTAATTTGAAAAACTACCACTTAAACCGCAAAAGTCGGGTTTTACCAGAAACATTTTTGTTCAGGTTTAAAACTGTTTGAAATATGATTTTTTTTCTATAGTTAGCTTCACTTCGAAAAGTTAAAAAATATCACAATTTGTTCAGTCTGTTTTGTTCTTTCAGTGAAATTTAAATTCTTAAAGTAAAGAACAGAGAGAAAATAATTAAAGTACGAAAAGCCTCAATTTCTGAGAAATTTTCACGAAGCATTTCGAAAAAATCCATAACTCGACCAGGTTAAGTTCAGAAGAGCTAAAAATTTGGATTTATAAGTAGCTTTGATTGCGCTACCCGATGCCTGGATAAAAAAGGTAGGTCAACTTTTATGCCTTCGCTTATAGCTATGCTCGATATTAGTACGGACTGTCTCTTAAGCACTTTAACTTTCTTCGACAAAAATTTTCTCTGTTGACAGTTTTTATAGTGTAAACAAAGAACAGAGTCACATTTTGCCATTAGCTGTGAATAAAATGATCCATTCTGCTAGCTATGTACATATATCTTCATATAGCCATGTTAATAGTTTCAATCAAAATATCGTTTTGTTAACCGTATAATTGACGTTTTTAGGTAACTTCGATTGCGGTATTCGATGCGTGGATAAAAATGGTAGGTGAACTTATGACCAGGTTAAGCCTATTCTCACCGGTAGCACGGATGATCTCTTAAATTTTTCTAGTTGTATTTAGAATTCCGCAAGGATCAATGTGAAAAAGCAAATTTTTATAAGTAATAGACGTTTGATTTTTAAGCTAAATTCTAAACTTCAAAAAATTAAAGCGTTTTAAACTTGAAATATCGGGTATCAGTGAAGAGAAAAAAATTCTGTTGAAAAAAAGCATTGAATGGAGCTTAAAAAACCAGACCAATGTAGGGCTTGACACAGTTCAAAAATTTAGAAAAGGGGATTTTTCCTAAAGTTTTCTGGGAAATCTACGGAAATGGTTTTTAAAAAATACTTTGGATAGCTTTGCGTGCATTACTTAAAACTGCCACTAGATGTGGAAAAACACGCTGGTCGGCGAGAAATGTTAAATGCAAGACTTCAAAAGTTGTTTTGAGATCGTTTTTCTGTGGTTGTTTGAAATATGTTGATTCTGAGCATTTTTCTGCTACATTGTGTTTAACTTTTAACCCAGCAAATCTGTTTTTCTAAAAACTGATGAATCGAGTACTTTAGATTATCTGAAAATGTATTGGTCCATTGAGGTCAGTAAACTGAGAAAAAAGTCACGTATTCTATAAATAATCCGTAAAAACGGAGGAATCTGGGGAAAACGATTGACGACGGTCTCAAAATACTTTTCTTCCAGACGACATAATAAATGATGAAAGATCATTAAGTTATGGAATATTGGTCATTTTTTTAAATTGTTCTGAGTTATGGTTCTTACCTGTTCTTATTATGTGGTGTTCTTCCAACTGATGAAACACGGTGTGAATATCAGATAGGAAGGGTTTTATATAGCAGAGAATTCTCTATCTCTTGGACCTAGAGCTATTTCTTTGAAAGTTATTTCAGTGCCCGATAACCAAGTGTGTCTCGTTCTTTATGGATCGCTCGTTAATAGTTAATATGAATAACAAAATATAAGGTACTAAAATACATATCAACGCATGCATACCTGTAGCACGTAAAGGAGTTTCTGGGCAGCCAACATGGACAGCACCCATTTCTTCGGTTGATAAATCGCATACATTTTCTTGTTGACATACAAATCGATGCGCTTTTCTGTGGCCATCAACGAGAAATACTTTCGAACAATTCGTACTGCATGTTTTGGATAGCGTTTTATGCCTTGTCCAGAATGCCGTGAACAAAGAATAGAAATAATCATTATGTGTTCTAAAATATGTATCTTTAACTTGTTTGTCTGTTAGTGTTCGTGGTATCGGATATTTTGTTGAATCAGTTAACATAAACACCATGCGCATTGTCTCATAAATTATGTAATTGATTTGAATGGACTTTTCATTCATTTTCGTAACTGACGAACGTCGTTTTCTCTGTATTAAGCCTGATGAACTGAAAAGCAAAAAGGCTTCTAAAGTATTTTTAATCAGTTACACAATAAGTACAAAGAAGAAGAAGCAGAAAACATAATTACGTGTGCTGTTGTGTTGGTTTATTTGTGCATTGTGTGAATGCTCCTGTTGATATTGTTGTTGTCTGATCATTCTGTCGTGCATTCCGGTTTCGGAGTGTATCGATTTTGTCGTTGTAGGCTTCGGTGAACCCAGCAAATGACATATATGATGTTAAAAGTTGTGAATGAAAATCGACAAAAATTTCATGATGATAAACAGTTTCACCTCCAAAATAAATGTATTCGTCATTTCTAATTGATTCGGCCGTGACAAATGTATCAGTTGGTGTTTGGTAATGCATTGGATAATACTTGATTACACAATTAGAACATGAAGCTGTATAAACTGTACAGTCTGTAATTTTGTCGTGTATCATTAGTGTTTTGGTTGAATTTGAGCACTTTGCCACCAGCTGTTTGCCACAGTTTAGACAAATATCGGTGAACGGAAATAGATTAACGGTTGTAACATTGTCATTGGCAATAGTATTTTGTGATTTATAGGTCTAGATTAAAACGGGTATTTCTAGTTGAAGTGGAAAATAAGATTGAAATATTGGATCGTGGGATATAAAATCAATAATAAAATCGATTGTTGTTTTTTCATATTCTGTTTTATATTGTTGATTAATAATATTTTGAATGTGTGCTGTTTTGTTTAATATTTGAGATGGTAATGAATAGAGCAACTGCATTGTAGTATGAATGTGATTCAGTTTCATATTATTGGTTAAATCTAATAATATTTCTTGCTCTTCGTTTAGTTTAGTTTTTTCAGTCGTCTTATCTGCTGTCATCGTTTTTGTTTGATCTAAAGAGCATGAATAATATAAGTTTGTCGTTTTGATTTACTTCCATGTTCTATGAGCTGTAGGGGAGCATTTTGACTTTAAAAGATCAAAACTGTTGTAGTGTTTCTTGTTCGTTTTTCCTTCATACGATACCTCATGCATTCTGATGACATTTTGTTTGCATTTTTTAGAATCTTTTTATTTGTAATTTTCAAAAATGATATGTTTTTTGCAGGATACAAATTTCGATGTAATTTCATAAAAATAGATAAAAATATTACTAGAAGTACCAAACCAGTAGAGGATAAGAGCATAAAAAGAACAAAAACACAGAAACATACACAAAACGTATCACAGCGATAGACTTTCATTTGCTTGTTTGTGTATACTATGTCTGGCTTAGTAAACAGTTACATTTCTGTTCAAAAAAGAAAAACAGTTAACTATGTGCATAATTATTTTGCAATGTTCTTTGAAGTAAGAAAAGAGAATTGGTTATGTTTTTCGTCGCTTATTTAGTGGTATATTTTGTCTTGGTCGTGGTAAATCAACTTCTTTTTGGATATTTTCATGTGGTGTTTCTTGTTCAATTACATCTTCATTTTCATTTGTGGAGATTTTCTTTCGACCTGTTTTTGCTACTTTTGATCTCAAATTAGCGAATTCGTCTGTTACTAAAATAAAAGGTAGAAAAGATGTGTCAATATTAAAAGCTTTTTGCGTTACTTGCCATTTGTTGTCAGTTGTGACTGAGGTGCACTCTGTTCATCATAGCACCATACCTTCGGATTAAATGTTACATATTTTGAATAAAAAACATTTGTTCTCAATAACGTTGCTACTTCTCGTGTTAAACGCCACTTATTTTTTGTACTGATATGAGTTCCAACATTTGTAAAAGAAGCAATATAAGTATCCCAATCGATACCGGCCTAAATGAAAATCGAAAAATAACGATTTCAAATCGTCTGTAACATATTCACATACATATACGTTTAATTTTCGGAGAAAATCAAGTTTGTCTTTTGATGATGTTGTAGATGGGAATTGTCTGGAAGGAAAGAATATGATATAATCTGATTGATATCTCATAAAAGATACACCTACTTCAAACGCCCATTATGGAAGGTTTTTTTTTGACGACCACTAAAATCTAGTGCTTTAGCATGTGTAACAAAATATTGACCTTCGGCTAGCAAGCCCTGTTCGATCAATAATTCTTTTGCCTTATTTCGATGCTCTTCATTTCTGCTAATTTTGTTAATATCCGTTTGTGAAAACAAAACCGCTTTAAATACCATATATTTGCCGGCCACTTTTCGAATATTTGGATCAAGTTTTAGTTGCTTTACTTTAGTTGCTTCATTTGAATTTCCTTCATCTACAAGACGAAGATTAGTAATATAAACGATAAGTCCCATTTTGGGGGAGGGGAGTCCCCCCAAAAAAACATACCCTCAAAGTTTGCCAGTTTGTAGAGGACACCTTCAAGGCTATACACGTGCAATAACTCACGGTTTGGATAAGTTTTGGCGGAGGGGTGAAATTTTTAAAAATTGAAAAAATAGATTTTTCCAGCTATTTTGCACCTGGTGCTAAAAGTATTTCTTGCGCAGTCCGCCGCATCAATGAAGCATTTTGGAAAGTTTATGTCAATGCAAAAGTTGTTCATTGCATTCATCTCTGCCGAATGACATATTTTCTTTTAGTACAGACTGCGCAGATACAAAGTTTTAGGTCATAAACCAGGTTCGAGTCAGAATTCTGCTTCTAATCCTCGATTTTCTCTATTTCGAAATTATTAGTTGATTCTGATTTTTTGATGAAAATCTCGATAATTATTCAACGTGAAAATTCGAAAAAAATCAAAATCAACTAATAATTTCGAAATACACATCATTCGATTCAGTCTTTGATCCTGATCCCGAATATGATATTTTTATTACATAGAAGTTGAGTTCTGTTAGAGAAAATCGAGGATTAGAAGCAGAATTCTGACTCGAACCTAGTTTATGACCTAAAACTTTGTATCTGCGCAGTCTGCACTAAAAGAAAATATGTCATTCGGCAGAGATGAATGCAATGAACAACTTTTGCATTGACATAAACTTTCCAAAATGCTTCATTGATCTGGTGGTCAACTATATTACATGGTCAACAAAATAGCTTTAATAGTATCTATCCTTTCAGACAGAAAACCTTTACCTTTATGATTTGCTTCATTCGATTCTGCTCGATTTTCTTTAGTTGCACTTAAATCAGGTCCGCCATCAGAATCCTGCGCTTGATAAGCCAATACTTCTGTTCGAGAATGTTCATCACTTTCATTTTCCTCTTTACTATCTCCATCTTCCATGCCTACGAAGAAAACGTTGGCCGTAAAATATTAGTAAACATTTAAAATCGCTTACATATGCCACTGAGAGTTATCTGTCCATCGAAAAACTCCAGAGTTGTACTGTTTTCACAATCTGTCTGGTCATTGTAGCCTTCTTCTTCCAATTCTGGAATAACAACAATATTTCGAGTTTTAGGATTCATTTATCAAAATATTACATGAAAAATGTCATTATCGGACGACGATTTATTTATTTTACAACTTTTCTTTTTCTCTTGTAGCTTAAGACGTTGCAATTGAATAAAAAGGTGCGATAGCAAAGGTACGTGTTCCCTTCAGCTTTAACCATTACCTGATTCTGACGGTTGATTTTGATTCTGAATTGCTACCTGAATTGCTGGTAGTACTCCTTGATGTGTCTTATTTTGTAAAGCTTTTGTATTTGTTGTTGCTAGTGATTGTTTTTTCCATGATGTTTCAGCAAGCGATGTTGTCGAATTAACAAAAAACGTTGACGTTGGAGCTGTCTGGTATCGTGTAGTACCATTAACTATCACAGCTTCAATATTATTATTTTCTAAATGAACTTCTATTATTTGTGTCAATTGATCGTATTTGTGATAATGTGGCACAAGTTGACCACTGACATTAAATAATTCAATTGTATCAGATGTTAGATCATGTAATGTTGGTTTCGAACAGTTATCAAGTAATAATTGATAATGGTTAATTTCAATATTATAAATACCTAGTTTTTTTTCAAATATAGCACGTTCTCCTGGTCCAGTTGGTATTGGTACTTTCATTAGTGACATTTTCTTTCGTTGGCGTGTGTCTTGCAAAAATTCACCACGAATAAGGATACCATCTTTTTCCAATCGAACAATCAGTGGGTCAACAATATGTTTTAGATTATGAAATGGTGACCTAAGGAAAGGAAAATTGCGTTTTTTATGAATCATGCAGAATGGTACATACATTTTACGTGACGTATCGGGATAGACAGATGTTAATGCACCAACCATAAAAATATTATACTGAAAATCACATAGAGTTTGTTCATGTGTTTTTCGTCGAGATGTAACTGCATATGCATCTGGTGCACCAATTGTTCCAATTGAAAATAATTGTAATGCTGTTTGAAATAGATATGAATACCATGTCCATGCAGCTACACATGTTGATTTTTCGATTATTAGAATTGGTATTGTTGGATTTTTTGGACTACGTTTCGCTGTTGATAGAAATAATTCAGCAATTTTCAATTTGGCATGTCGAATAAAATTTTGATTTATCTCTAATTCATCTTCTTCCCCTTCTTCAAATTCTAGTTCATTTTCACATTCATCAATAACGGCACACACATTTTTTAATAATTGAAATAAACAACAGTAACGAGGAAAAATTGTTGGAGTTTTTGCATATAAATCTTGTATATGTGCTGGAATTTTTGCTGAACAATTTGCAATATGATCTTGATGGTCACTGGTTAAATTCCACGTATAGTTATATGCACTGACATCGATACTTTGTGTTGACTGCGTTGGTAAATTTCGATGTGTTAAGTTTGAATCTGGAAGAAAAAGGAAAAATTAAATTTTATCAATTGAAAAACAAGCAGTTGTGTCAGGACACAAATGAAAAGGAAACGTATTATTACCATCTGATTTTGTTTCGTCATCATTGGTTTTGGGTTCGGGTTGTTCTTCTGCTGTTGATTTTTGCCATTCAAAGTGAACATTTCCAAACAAATGCACGATAACACCGATATGTGCCATTGATGGAAGTTTGGGATTCAATGGTGGTTGTGCAGCGGTAAATAGAAATTATTTGAAAAAAATTGTTTCACGTACGGATTGACTTACCTGCCCGGACGTCTTGCAAGTGGTCGTTTTAACACCAAATAGTTCATTCTATTATGAATGCCTTCATTTGATTTGTTTCGTGACCAATTTGATAGTGTACCTTGATATTTTGTTCCAACGACGCCGACTAACATTGACAATTTGGCTGAGACTATTTTCACCTTGGTACTACCGGTGGAACGTGATTCATTTTTAATACTTAAAAGAGAACAAAACTATATAAGCCTACTCTACTCGCCCCTCCATAGCCTTCTATTTTGGGAGAGGGTTTCAGTCAATAGAAACAACAGAAAATGACATACCCGTCGTATGCTTTTAACAGAAGAACGTTTTCGGCCACTTTTGATGAATTTCCAATATCGTAAACGCCAAAACCGTCAAAAATAACGTCCGCTTCGTCATTGATGAGAAATAAACTTTGACTAGTCAGATGTTTACGAAGGCCGTGACCAGTTAAGGTTGTAACAACGGACATTTCTTCAGTAATGTCAGCACCTAATTGGACAGGTTTACAATATTCTTCGGGAAATAACTTTTCGATTTTTGTAGCGGCATCTTTAATTTTGTTAACAATGTTCGACTTGCCAGCACCTGAATAAGGAACATGTAAAAGAAAATTAAAACAAGAAAAGAAGCTTACCAGATGGTCCAACAATCACCAAATACAAATTTAATGGATGAATCTGATTAGATAAATAATGACGATAAAAGCTTCCTCTTGCAAAATGACCAAGCAATGCTAACGATGCAAAAAGCAAATGTTTTTGTTCTAAACCAGAAAATTGTTTGTATTGTAAGAATATTTGTTGTTGTTTGTCGGTTAGTATTTGCGATATGTCGACATCGATTTCACTGGCTAAATAAATGTTCTGCTTTATATGTTCACCATATTCTTTTATTTGAGCAGCCATCTATAAAACGGCGAAAAAGTTAACGACTGCCTTGAAAATTTGAAGAGTCTTCCAGTATAATTCATGTCACGATGTTCATGCTGAATTGATTGAAAAATATGTGCTGCCTACAATCAGACTGTCGGGCAGTGATAAGCACCGCGTGAAGGATCACCCACCCCAAGAGAAATTCCGATTTCTCAAATTCGCGCTGCTAAATAATATCTTGATTCAACGTTGGAAGAAAAATATGCGCAACTAGGGCTGCTACATTACTATTACTTTTTATTACTATTACTCGGTAATAAGTAATAATTATTATTACTTTTATTACTTATTACTTTTCATCACTAATTGCTTTATTATTTATCATTTTAATACTA